CGATGAGATCGCGCGTGGTGCATGTCTGCAAAAAATAAAAAATTAATGACATGGGTACTATACCAACTAGAGTGATGGTTGGTGGTACTCTCCTGCAACCACAGTCCTTCCTGAGACATGACAGGCCACTCTCAAGCCCTACAAGCACCAGATGACCCACTTGGGGAGGGTTGACATCGTGATTTCGGCGGAAATTTTCTTTTTTGCTGTGAATTCCGGCGTGAAGAGAGGGAAAAACCCACAGAGGGCCCAGACCTACCCTACCTACCCCGGCATGCTGGCCGCCCAAGCAAAAATAAAATACATGCGGGGTTCGCGCTTTAATATGTATGTACAATGTGAGAGGACTCGAGATGTGTTCGAGATTTGGGCGGTCGTGCTTTTCGGCGGTCGTGGAGGTCGTGGAGGTCGTGGAGTGGCGAGTCACGCTCGGGCGGACAGCACTGATGCCGTCGCCGGACGCGGCGGCGAGGCACACGGGCGCCGGCGTGGCGCGTCGGCAGGCCCACCACGAGCGGATGCGCGACGAGCGCGCTCGGGAAGCGGCCGCGGGTGACGCGGAGCTTCCGCCGGAGGACGACGCGGTCGAGATGGCGAGCGCCGTCCACGTGCTGGACAGCGTGGCGGAGGTGGGCCCGAACTACACTCTGCTGCGCAGCAAGGAGACGAAGGCGAAGCGGCGGAAGCGAAAGCGCGAGGATGCCAGGGCGGCGCTCGACGGCCACACTGTCCTGTCCACCGGATCGCGCCTCGAGATCTTCTGCGACAGCGAGCGGTGGTACCCTGCGACCGTAATGGCGCGGGAGGAAGACCGGGACGGACGGATCGTGCACGAGGTCGAGTACGACGGCTACTCGGATCGGCGGTGGTGGCACATGCTGGACGACGAGCGGTGGCGCGCCGTCCCAGAGCAGGCCGGCACGGGCGCAGGAGGCGCTGCCGCAGATGGGGATGGGGATGCGGCGATGGACCGCGTGGACGGCGAGCATGGCGCCCGTGCCGCGGGCGACGCCGAGGCGGCCGAGGTGCGGCCGGCGCCGCCTCCTGTGCGCCGCGGTGTGCGGCGCAGCGCGCTGGCGGATAGCAAAATCTCATTTTATCGCACATGGTCATGGAACATGGTGTGAAGGCCAGACGGGGACGTGGCTCGTGGGTGCAACCATGCAAAAATGCGGTGTGCGCGATGGCGTGTGTATAGTTGCGGCGCCCCAGCAGCGGCGGCGCCGGCAGCGCAGCGGCGGCGCCAGCCGACAGCTAAGCGGCGGGAACGCTCCAGTCCGCGACGAGCCTGCTGTCGGGCCCCGGCGGACGCGGCTCTTCGAGCAGCACCACCTCGAGGGGCAGACGTGCCGCTACCGCGATCACGAAGCGAGTAGAATCGGTCTTCATTTTGTCCATATGGCAGCCATCCTCATTCCTCTCGGGGTCGCCAGCGTCGCCAGAGCTCCTTCTACCAGCGTCGCCAGAGCCCCTTCTACCAGCGTCGCCAGAGCCCCTTCTGCCAGCGTCGCCAGCGTTAAGCCCGCACGAGTGCGACACATGATCAGCGGCTTGCCATTCTCGGCGCCTCACCCGGCTCAGGGCCTCCGGCTAGGGGATCCGGATCAGGCATGGTGCCTCGAGCACAGCGTCGGCTCGCAGCAGCGGCTCTCCACCATGGCGGCCCTCCTTCTACCGCCTCGAAAGGTGGAGTGCCCATCTGAGGCGATTGGAACTCCGGCCAGGGGCAGGTGCGTGCCTGCTTCAATCCTGCTGCAGCTCGAGAGGGCGGGGCAGCGCAAGACACGCCGCGGGCCGAGCGACGCCGCCGCCGACGAGATGCGCCTCCGCGTTATATCCTTCGCAGAGCGGTGCATGCACGCGCCGTGGGACCCGAGCGACCCATCCGAGGCGACGCTCGGCCAGGTCATCGCAGCGGCATCATGTCGCAGCTACTTTCTGCGAGGGAAACAAGGGCCGTGGAAGGCGGACTTTGAGAGCTGGGCGCGCCGCCACCGCCACCGGCCCCAAGAGGGCTGTGACTGT